TGTTTAAAAAAACGAAATTCCAATAACTTGCATACAAAGATGATTTTATTTGATTTTTATAAATATAAGTCTGAACATGCATATCCACCCTACTACCAAAATTGCAAATTGTGGATTGATAGCAGTAAAATACAATGTATTACAGAGTTGTTGGATTACACATATTAATACAAAAATCGCCAGTGTTAATAGTTCACAATCTGGCCAACTGAAGAGAATGATTTTCTCTGGAAGGGAATGTTGCCCTTGCAGATGTAGTCCACACGCTTTTTTTTCGTCCACGTTTACTCGTTAAAGCATGGAAGGCGTGGCCGGGACTGCGCTGCCATTTGGAGTTTGGAGCACCTCGTTGCTCTCACATTGCCATTGAATCCTTACTTCACACTTTTTTCTCCTTGGACAAAAAACATGTGAAAGTGCTGAGAATACCAAATTTCGTCAACGTTGTAAGCTTTAGTGATATCTGTGACATCTAATGAACTACACGTTATCTCTCAAGATTCTTTTCTGCTGATCACTGTCAGGCATTTATGTTCCTTATTTTCAAATGGAAACAATAATTGTTTTCGAATGTTTTAGTTTAAGAGTTGAAAGCTGGCCTATTCTTTTCAAAGAGCTGTAATTTTGCGCGGCAGCTGTGAGTGCTAAAAACACGTCACGTGCGACAACTTCCTAACTTTTACGCATACTCAAAAGTGTCAACTACTCAGTTCATATTTTGTGGCATTTCCTCCTAGCTGAGGCAAGAAAATGAACAGCTTGATCACTCTTACAGAACTGTGTTGCAGAACAATTAATGGCGTCACGTGTTGCTACGAGAGCCAGTTCCCCCGCTCCTGATGAGGTGGAATGCATGGATATGGTTCATCCAATGAAATCTAACAACAATCTTCCTCTCACCAGCACCACTCCATCAATGCCTCCTATTGTAAGTAGCTACTTCTTTCTAAGAACTCTTTTACAACTGCAGTCTTACGAGTCTGCAAATGTGGAAACATAAGTTAGTTCAAGTAAGTTAATTCAACTTATAATTCAATTCAGAATCTCATGTTTTGCCTTTGATGCGGAATTTGTTCGACTCTCAAAGTAAAAGAGTACGATATATGAAAATTTAGTCAAATCAAACAAGTGCTTTTACGAAACATCTCATAACCTTTTTTTATCAGCATAGGCCGTGAAATGTATGATACATTTTACTGGGGATACATATACGGTCGTGAATAAATACGAAATTAAGATATGCAATTTAATTGAACAATGGGGAAAGCAAGAGTAAGCTATAAAAATATTAGTAGTTACATTTGTGGAGGTGGTGTAATTACAATGTGCGCACATGAGCTCATTCTCAATCAGATAAAGCTCATATTTTCGTTCTTGAAACTCTTATGAAAAAAGAAAAACCAGTTTTCGGATATTATAAAAAAACATCATTTAATGTAAAACTTTAAGCAAACGGAATATCAAAATTGAAAATAATTAACTCTCTTCTCTCCTTACCTCCTTTCCCTCTTTCGAGTAAAAGCGCGGAATAACCGCTTTGTGTATTCCTTTTCTGTTTACTTGTCTATCTAGCTCATCACTATAAATGGCATTCCCTTCAAGCCACATGTTCCCGGAGGCAGTTGGTTTTTGATATGCGTCTGCTCATGGAGAGTTTCAGTTGCATTGGACTATTTCCTTGACCAGAAATACTCCTAGTCACTGCCCCATACTCTGCTCGTTTGTCGCATTCGTTTTGGGTATCTGCTCAGCATTGACAGCGCCGGCTCTGAATATATGGATCCGCGCTACTGGATTGATGCGTCCCTCAGGGCTTCAATTCCGAAAAAGGGCTGACGCGGTAGTCGTTCGTGTCAATATGTATAAATAGTACAAACAGAAATTAACATTTCAGAATTTCTATACACATATGTACTTGCAGATACGGACAACAGACAGGCCTGTAGTACTGTATATGGCTCCGGTGCACAAACTTCGCCATGAAGATGATCCTGAGGCAGAGATTGAAGTGAAGACGTCATTGCAGAACATGCAGCTGAAATAGGCTCGATGTCATAATGTCGCAATGCTGGCATTCTTCTAGTCTCTTAGCTCATTGCTGTGTGCCCTAATCAAAGAAGTCTTGTATACAAAAGTTGACCCCTGCTCCGTTTTCCCTACAAATTCCATGGGCTCAGTAGTTAAATCATCTCCAGCCAAAAGCCTTTCAAGTCTACGAAAAAGTCTACAAAAACCTTTCTTCACAGTGAAATTCTTTGCG